GTAATAAGCTCCTGCTATATATTCGCGGCTATATAGTGTGTCTCTGAGTTAGAACTCGGTCGTAAAACTTATCGCCCGAACGTCGTTACTTCTTGCCGTTTATTTGACCGCTAGCATTAGAACGCTAATTAGAAGTTAGCAGCGTGACACACTGACGCGAGCTCGTAGTTTAGAAACTTCGACCTGTCACGGTGATATATATATATTTTATATATTTTGTCTATATATACAATATAAACAAGTTTACGATTATTACCGGCATACAGTCGACTACAACGCGCGTGTGTGTAGTCTAGAAACGTGCCAATTAACGATTCCGCCACCCGGAAAATGTCTACTAATTTGCTTAATCTAACAACATTGTTTAACAATGTCCGTCATTGCCGAGCATGGATGCGTGAATTAACGGCTATTATGGCCTTAACCGTTCTGGACGCTAATTAACAATATGATTCGACCGATGTGTTGCTTCGTCAAAGATGTTATGCACTTTACTCTCTTTAATTTATGAGAGAACAGGGCTTCTTGTTATGATGGTGATCAGGTATCTGCTTCAATATGTGGCTATTATGATGCAAATCGACATTATGTACATGGAGCTCGTGTACAGGACTGATCCTCATGGCATTTGAGTCTCTTCCACAACTTGCGTGTTCGATGATGAATCATTGAACGAATGTAAGACGCTTTCAAGGGTTTTGACATTCTACAATCTTCCTTTGAACTGATTAAGAAATGCTAACCGTCTGCAATGCATATCCTTGCGTCCCGCTTATGCAATTGTTATGTCACATACATTTGCATTGTGAGATAACATATACTTGACATATATTTTCTTTAATCACGCACTCTACTTATTCACAACAAACAATTCACAACAAAAAGTAGAATGTGCATTTAAGGGAACGGGCTGAACGGTACTGCTTTATTTAATCAATTATGTGATCTCTCATTCTTTTCTTTAGATATTCTAAATATGGTGACGCAACATGAAGTAGGTAATCTTTGTTACATTTGCAACTTATTTATATTATTTGGCTGCCTATTGCCCTGTAATGTGTGATAGAAAGAAACAGAAAAGAAAAGAAAGCCTCTAAGCTTTGGGTTACATGCGCTGCTTACAAATCGCTCATCGATATCACTTCTTCAAAAATAGTATCGGATATCATTTCTACAGAAAAAAAAAATATCCTAATGTTACCTAAAGATATAACGCACCCTAAGAAAGAACTTTTTCTATTTTCATAACTTCACGCGCAGCTTCTTGATGAAGCCCTTTAAATGGATAAACCTTATAAATAGTTTCAAAATATGTGTAAGCCATTTCGATAAGACTTTGATTTCGGTGCGGAATCAATTTGCAAGACGGAATTATCTCGTGACAGACGTATTGGTACGTCCTTTACAAGTCTCGAACAAGTCGTCCTCGTCTAGGTGGTAACCTTCGGCTGATCCCTCGTTCTCTTCCACCCAACCAAACTCCGAACGACTCCACGCCGGAATTTGGGACTCAAAGCTCACCGGTTTCGCACCACTCGGGGAGTCCCCTGGGTAGATTTCGCGGCGCGAAGTCCTTATCTAAAGTCTCGATCGCGTTTACGTCAGCTGGAGATACACTCGAAATAGATGAACTCTTGGCCTAGATCCCTACGCGTCGGTCGTTTCGATGGACGGCCAAACCCAGGCAATAAGGATTTCCACGGGCAGACTTAGTATATACTAAGTATATACGTATTTATATAGGGTGCCCCAGAGGTCGTACGCTTTTATCCGCTAGAGAATTTTTGAAGAATTTAGAGATGTTCATTCCACGTCCCGTGAAGGATTACGTTCGACTTATTTTCAGTTTTTTTTTCCAATATTGTGTATCTCGGTATAGCAAATCGTATAAATTGTTCTATTGGAAACTCATCTATACAAAATAAGATTTCGTTTTTTCATTTCATGCAATTTAAGGTCACCGTTTAGTATCCAATCGCTTATAATTCAAGCGTTTACGATATCTCTCATTAGATTTATTATTTTTCTAATATTTATGACGCTGCGAATATACTTCTTCTAACATCTTTCACTTGCCTAATATCTGTTAGCTCAGAGAAAGCGAGCAATCTCCGAAGTACCCCGTATACATATACATACCTGGCCACCTGTGTGTGTACACGGTCATACGTGTGTGCCTGTGTGTATCGCTATTTTCGGCCGGATCGAGATACGACCCCAAAAGCTATCGGTGCAGCCGTCGGTTGTCGCGAAATCCGGAAGCCGCGCCCGTTTCGAGGGCTGGACGTGGACGCGCGGCCCCTTTCTTTTTATGAAACTTCCGATAAACGCCCGCTGGCAAGGATTTCCGTTTCATTCGTCAACCTGTCCAACCCGAGACCATGCGCGACACTCTTTCTCTCTCTTTCTCCCTCTCTCTTTTTTCCCTGCCTCTTTTTCTCACTTTTCGAATATTTATTATTACATTTGTTTCTTTCTCGTTATATTGTTATTTACGTATTTTTGTAACTAAAATGAGTCATGTAATATCGAAGAGAATATTTTAATGCTCCAAAAACACATTATTGTTATCGTAAGTTGAAACTGTGTATTATTATTAAAAATACACATTTTAATTGTACAATTAATTTTTGCCATTCCGACACAAAACTTAAGCTGGATTTCGACGCATAAATCTGATTTTTATAGAATATATAATTTCTATCTCTGATTTCTGTCTAATTTTCTCCGAATTATTCCGAATTTTAAAAGAATTTTCTCTTTTTATTTCCGTAATATCTAGTACCTTCTCGTCAGACGCGTTTCATTTATGTTGTCGAATATCGAAAAGATATGAATGCACGTAAATCGTCAGGTTATGGCGGACAGGTCTACAGAGTGTTTCCCTCTAACTATGGCAGCTCGGAACTTCCGGTCAGAGCATGTCGATAGAGACAAGCCACACCATTAAGCGCCGTGATACCCCATACAAATCACGTCGATCCACGATTTATGGTCCATTCACCCTCTCTCGCAATCGCGTTATCAGCGTCGATAGTTGCACACGCCCAAAACGGGGCTTCTCCATGAAAACACGTCGCTACGACGGTACAGAAGGGCCATTCCCTTCCCTCATATTAACAATGCATCAAAAATATGATTTCGATCTTCAACAATATTCCCACATTTCCCGATTCCACTCTCAGATTATACACACTGTAAATACAATTCGCACCCAATCGCTTACGCGTAATATGATTTACGTTGAAGAATTAATCCCGCTTCTTGCTTTAAAATATAATTTAATCCTAGAAACACCAAAGTTTCATTGATTACATTGAATAATATTAAAAGAAACGTATTCTTTTTCTTGTGCTCTTTTTCTTTCATAACTTTTATTTTCTTTTGTAATACTTTATATTAAAAGTACTAGTTGATATAATGTTATAAGTTATATATCGATATTCATTAAGTATAATATACAATTTTCGTGAAATAAAAACTTATCGGTATTCTTTATTGAGACTTGGTGTTCCTAGACAATCCTCCAATATTTTAAGTTGCTTGCACAAAACAATATAGCCAAGATATATTTTGTTGCAATTTTCTAATAGGCAAAAAGATAGACTTGACGAAATATTTTAAAGCTTAAAGAGTATTGGAAATTAAATAACAAATTTTAAACAATACGCACGATGTTTGCAAACATTTTCGTAAAACTTTTTTCTGTCACAAATTAACATGTACAATATTATTCTTAATTTAGTACTAATAATCGTAATTGCATTTTATATTCTACTTAAATTTTTCTCAATTACATGTATAGCAATAATATTATATATAATTATATTATTTATGATTTATTGAAAGTTGCATTTTTCATAAATTCTTTGATTTCATTATCTTCTTTTTAATTTAATTAGAATTAAAAAATTTAATCAAAATCTTCAAAATGAACTGAGATATACAAACTTGTTATCTCCCTGCAATTTTAAAATCTAGCTTAATAAAATTGTTTTATAATTTGGAAATACTTATTTTATCCTAATACTATTATATAACTGCAATTATTCTTAATTTAGGATTTAATATGTGTAATTTAGATAAAATTCTCGCGATTTTTGAATCGTCTTTAATATCGATTGCTTGGGAAAAATGCCGTTATCGAGAGATTAATTAATTTTTAGCATTTAATGCTGCAAACATCCACACAAATATGAAAATACATATATAAGCTTAACCCGCTTTTATTCCTAACTATTTCCACTGCATTTCTTATTTGCATCTCTTATTTCAGTTCTCCCATGATCCTCCACGTGTATGACATACTAAAAATACAAAGTAATACAATATTTACCAAATTAAGACAGTATTTTCGCTGACACATTGATCTTAAACGCATTATTTAATCCTTTAGTCTAACTTCCCTTTTTAATTTTTCTTAATGTTCTCGTAATGCGTGACAATTGTATTTGTTTTGTAAATCGCAATTCAGTTAAGCTACTAACAATGTAACAGAATGAAACGCGGTTTAGTAATATGTAATAATATCAACTCAATAAGATGTTCAATCAAATTAAAACGGATGAAATTTAATTATCTTTTTTCAATCTATGTTAATTAAAACGTACGTATATATAAAGAAATTAATAAAGATAAACATAAAAGAAATGTAATTAATATCAAATAGAGGGTGTAAAATTAGAGAAAATGGATAAGAAATATAAAAATTTTTATACTTTAGCAATATAAAGTAATTTAAATATTGAATTATCAAATATAATTTATGTTTGTGTACCTAATATAATTTATACAACTACGCACGTTGTCAGAGTTAAACCCCAATACATAGAAATGTTTCTACAACAACACAATCTGTTATTTAATTCACGCAGTACGTTAACATAAATCCTTGTCTCTTCTTAGCGGTAAACAATTCGCATTACAGATCGTACTCCCCGTTCCCGTTTTTTTTGTTTCTCATCATTCTCAGCTTTCTTCTTGTTCTTTATTAATGTCAGGAGTGCCGGCGGTGTACTACCACGGAACAGGAAGTGAGAATGCAGGCCGCGCGTATACAGAGGCGCCGATGCAACACGTCCAACGCAATGCACTCCGGAAGAAATGTATGAAGTCGACATTCACTTTGCTCGAAAATACGCACCTCGAAACACCTTCTTCTCTTTCTTCGTTTGTCTATCTGTCTTTCACATATATACGTATACTCACACATTTCGCTCGCGCGTACCTTCTTTCGCCATCATCGGTCTCTTTCAGTCTTTTTCTCTCTCTCTCTCTCTTTTTCTCTGTCTCTCTTATCTGATACAGAAATCCCCTATAGCGTGATCTTTCGAAATACAACCATTTCTCGAGAATTTCTTTTTGAATCGTCCCGCCTCGTTTATCGCGTTTCGTACGTTTCTGCCTTCGTCTATTCCGCACGGAAAATGCATATTAATACCGAAGTGCATTTCGATGCATCGAGTGCTACTCCAGGGAGTGAGTCTCTCTCTCTCGCACTGTGTAGTTTCGACGGCGATCGATACCCCTAGGTTCCATTATTGCCACAGCCAGCCGATGCATCCGAATCGAAACCGTAGTCGTGGCAGTAAACGCCAACGCGGTTTCGAGCGTCCTCCGCCCCGATGGGGAAAGCTGATACCGAGCGATACCGAGCGAAAGCTTTCTAAGTGCCTAGAGAAAACACCTGTCACACTTTTCGGCGATGTATGGGCGCTTCCGTTATTTCCAACGTGTTTCCTTACACGCGCGAACTCATCTGTCGAATGTAATTTTTCCACGATAGGCACACAGGGGATA